GGTCTGGTTCAAGGCCTCTGGTTTCTGCTACAATATCGATGCTGGGCCCTCACTGGGACTCCTCCTGGTTATCCTGCGTTGCCCTGTGTTGTAGAAATCCTGCAGCTTTGGATCCTCTGGACTGGTCCCTTCACATGCTCCAGCAGATCATAGATAAGGTGGATATTGGGGTAGACCAACTCATAACCCTGCTTCTGGGCCTGGGTAGTTGAGGGTTGGTCAACCCACCAGCTCTCCCTAAAGACAAAAAGCGTTTTCAATGGTGGTAAAGAGTATACAGACAAATCAGTGATCAGAGAAATCACAGTATAAAAATTTAACTCACACACTTCAAGAAATGCAAATGAACAACCGGGCCACATTGGAGCAGGAATACACTATGATCTTACTGAGATCCCAAGGCAGAAATGGAAGCACCTGCCCTATTAAGATAAGTGGAAGGAAAGAAAGCAGTTAACAACTCCACAAATAAAGGGGAAAGCTGAACAAAAAAGACATAAAATTATTATATTACCCTATACTGTGTACTTACTGACTAAATGTATTTTATTAGCCGTTTTATGTATTTTAATACTGAAGGGTAAAAAGAGCCAAGGAAGAAAACACTCTGCCCCTGACTTGACCCCAGGGCCAGGACTTGAAATCACACTAATGCCTGAGCATGAAATCCCACCAACATCTGAGATCCCTGAGCACAAAATCCCACCAATCCCTGCCCTTGCCCCAGAATCAGGCCACAAAAATACAAGCTCCACAGCTCCACCCTCACCCCCAAGAAGCCCTATAAACACTGTTGAGTTTGCTGCTGCTTCTCACCCTAGAGGCAGCCACTGTCCTAGATTTTTTTCCTTCCCAATAAACCCCTTGAGGGAGGTTTGTTGTGGGGTGTGACACTTTTGCAAGAGTAGAGCCTAGATGTTAACAACTTTCACTGGACTGGAGCAGAGTAGAACAAAGCTGAGGAAATGTTCCCTTAGTGGAGCAGAGTTGTTACTCTGTGGAGAGGGGCACAAGCTGAAACACTTCTCCAGAGCAGAGAGGAACAGAGCAGGGCAGTAACAGCTCTGCTGGGAAAACCCTGCCCTGGAGGAACAGAATTGTTATACCCGCACTGGGGAAACCTTTCCCCAGAGCTGTAAGCTTCTGTGCTTACAGTGACTTTGTGGTATTTTTTTTTTGGCTCTGTACTGCCAGGATACCTTTCTCTCTAAGCTGCAATGCTTACAAATACCTACCCCATTATCCACTTTCAGTTTTAAAAATTAGCACACCCAGAAAGACATGATCTAGCCCTTAAAAAACTGACACTCAAGACTTAACCAAAGCCTTAGCCAATACATGCAGAAGGCCCAGGTTCAATCCCCTGGCAACAAAAAGAAACAAAACAGTCTTTAAATCTCAGTTCACATGTTGTGACATCATTACATATACATAATAAACATTCTTACATGATTAAGTTATAAAAATATGAATACCAGATTATAAACTATGGCTATCTACTGGTTTTGAGATTTGAGTGAATTTTGCTTTTTATATTTTGTTTATTTTTGAGATAGAGTTTATGTTACCAAAGTTGCTCTCTAACTCATGATTGTCTTGCCTCTGCCTCCCAAGTGCTGGGATCATAAGCATACACACCACACTCTGTTTTATTTTGCTTTCTATATCCATCTTAACATCATAGCTCTCTAGGTCCTCCAAAAATAACTATCGAAATAATCTTCTGATAGAGATGCCCAATGACTCCTACTTTCTATTTACAGTCTGAGTGGTCCCCTTCCCCAAGCACCTGTGCTCTGTGATACAAGTACCCAATAGAATGCAGGGAGAGAGACATGCCACCTTAAGGAAGCAATTCTACTTCTGTGCTCTTGGGAATATGGCTACCATGTGAGAGTGCTGACACCATGCGGGGGAAACCAGATAGAAATATCAGTCATGTATTTTTATTATCATTTTATTTGAATGAGTGTTTTCCCTTTATGTATGTATTGTGTGAGTATGTGTGTGTCTATGCATGTATGTGTGTATGTATGTATGTATTATGCATGTATGCATGTGTATCTGCGTGTATATATGTGCACACACGTGTGTGTGTGTGTGTGTGTGTGTGTGTGTGTGTGTGTGTGTGTGTGTGTGTGTGACCAGAGTCCTCTGATACTAGAAAAACATGCCAGATCCCTGGAATCGGAGTTACGGGTGGTTGTGAGCCACCATGTGGGTTCTGGGAATTGAACTCAGAACCTCTGGAAGAGCAGCATGTACTCTTTCATTAACTTTCTTTTTATTCATTCTTTTTGTCTTTCACATCATACATCTCAGTCCCATTCACTTCCCATCCCTGTGTATCCACCCTCTGCCCTTGCATCTCCCAGCAATAACATTTAAGAGAAAAAAGGAAAACGCAGGGAGGGACTTGTCGTGGAAGCTGTAGCATGATATACTGAGTCATGCAGTAAACCCTTTTGTCCATATATTATTTCTTGCAAGTGTTCATTGCAGAGTCATTGGTCTGGTTCAAGGGCTCTGGTTTTTGTACACTATAGATGCTGGGCCCTCACTGGACCTTCTCTGGATTATCCTGCTGTTGCCCTGTGTTGTGGAGATCCTGCAGCTTTGGGTCTGCAGGACCAGTCCCTTCCTGTGCTCCAGCAGATCACAGATGGGATGGATATTGGGGTGGGCCAAACCATAACCCTGTTTCTAGGCCTAGGTAGTTGCAGGATTGGTCAGCCCACCAGCTCTCCTTTGTCCTCACCACCAGGGTGAGCTTTCCTGCCTTGTCCTAGCTAGTTCACCCCTTGCAGCAATGAGCAAAGGGTGGGGCCAGTTCTCCTGCTTTCATGTCCTCAGGATCAGTTCTCCCACACCTGCATCTCATGGCCACCTCTACTGTGTTGTCCAGGTATGGCATGAGGACCACTCTCCCGAGTGCTGTAGCTGATGAGTTGAAGGGATAGCTCTCTCAAACTTATGACCTCAAGGTCAGCTCTCCCACCTGCCTCAGGTATTGATGCAGGGGGCATCTCTCCCCCATCTATGCTGCCACATGACAGATGAGTAATAGAAACAGCTCTTCCATACTCACAACTTCAGAGCTGGCTCATCTACCTCAGCCAACAGGATTGGTGCAATTGTGCTGCCCTGGCAAGGTGCAGGGCCTGATTTCCCAGGTGTTGCAGCAGCAAATAGTCTTAAGCTCTGAGCCATCTCTCCAGACCCTATTCTGTATTTTTATAAAGGATATTATAAAACACACACACACACACACACACACACACACACACACACATGAGACTGTGTGTTCACCTATAATATACTCAGAGCAGTGACAACACCTAAACCTAAGTTTGTGATGCCTGGCTGTATCCTGGGCATTCAGTGCCCAGACTCTCTTCAACCTTTTGTAAACTTCTCACGCCTGCTTAGGGAAATGTTAACAAAGCCAGGCAGTGGTGGTGCACACCTTTAATCCCAACACTTGGGAGACAGAGGTGAAAAGATCTCTGTGAGTTTTACACCAGGTTGGTCTACAGAGTGAATTCTAGGACAGTCAGAGCTACACAGAGAATCTCTCTTCCTCCCTCCCTCCTTCCATCCCTTCCTCCCTCTCCCTCTCTCTCTCTCTCTCTCTCTCTCCTTCTCTCTCTCTCTCATACACACACACACACACACACACACACACACAGAGAGAGAGAGAGAGACAAACAAGAAAGAAGAAGAAAAAAGAAAAAGAAAAATGTTAATGAAAGATGAGTTTTTGATCTCTAACATTCTAAAGTATTTTTTTCTTTTCAGAATATTTCACCATCAAATTCTGAGGGACAAGATAGAAGCACCTCCCATCCAATGTCTAGCCCCATCAGGCTGAGCAGAAAACACCATCACACATTGCTTTTTCTTGTTATCAGAATCAGTGACGTTACCCTCACAGTCTTGATAAAACTGCAGCACATCTAACAAGATACCAAAGCAATGATGGCCCAGAATCTGATTTTATATTACAAAATAATCTACAGAGTTAGATGTGTCAGCAAACACTTTTCACCCAAGCCCTCAGAAAGTTGGCACAGGAAAATGGCAAGTTCAGGACCAGCTTGGCACAGTGAGACACTGTCACACACACACACACACACACACACACACACACACACACACAATCTGCATGCTAATCAGAAACAAACCCCTCACTATCCCCTGTTCTACGTCATCCATGCTCTCCTTTAAGTAGCAATTGCAAAAGTGACATGGAACAAAAAGCGTAAAAGAGGAAAGGAAAGGAAGAGAGATTTAAACTTGGGAAACCATACTGAACACAGCCATAAAATGTTCAACATTTTGTGATATATAGCAACCTGGCAGGCTACACTTTTCAAAAACTGAGACATATATTTTACATACTCTATATGCATACATAGCATGTTAGAATGTGTGTGCACATGTGTTCATATCTATACTCCAAAACTAAAGTATTCAAGTTAGCTAAGAAGAAGAACACAAGCAACACACAACCTTACTGAGAACAGTCACGTGGTCAGGACCCTTGTAGGATAACAGCACTGCAGTCTACACCATCTCTTGCCTCTTTATTTCATGTGACTGAGTGCTTTGCTCTATTACGTATATGCACTGCATACTTGGTGCCTGAGATGTCAGAAAAAGAATATTGGATCCCCTGAAACTAGAGTTACAGATGGTTGTGAGCCACCATGTGGGTGCTTGGAAAAAAAAAAAAAAAAAAAAAAAAAAACCTGCAAAAGCAACAAGTGCTCTTAATCACTGAGCCATGTTTCCAGCCCCTGCCCTCTTGTTAAATTTTACACCATCTAACTGAAAAGTCTACTAAAAAAATCAATGACATGAAAAAATTAGATAACATAAAAATGTTATCAAAAAATAAAAATTCGATGGAGTTCTGGAAAGCACTATGTCTGTGTGTCCCTCCAGACTATAACAGGCACCCCACTTCAGGATACTGCACAGGTGTAGATCCAGCTGTCTCACTGTGTGTCAGCCACAATGCAGTAGTACACGCCAGTGTCTCTCAGGGAAACCCAGGGCAGACTCAGAGTGCTGAACTTCCTGTCAGCTGAGATAAACAGAGATGCCCACTCATTCGACACATGGACCTTATATCCTTGAACAATAAACTGTGGTCCCTGGTGGGGAACCTGACGGTACCAGTAGATGTACTCATTTGTAGCAATGTTCGTGTGGCTGCAGGACACATTTACTTCTTGCCCTTCATAGGAGTCCATGGAGAGGGGCTGGGTGGTCTTAGCAAGGCTCCATGTGGCTGTGGGAATGAACACAATCCTCATTCATATCCCAGAACAAGATGATTAGAACCCCCCATGGAGTTCCCATGGCTCTTTCTCAGGTGGACCTACCCCTTACTCTTCCTGCCAACCATACACATGTACCCCTTTACTTGCCATTTGTGCATCCTCTTACTCAAGAGATGCCAGGGTCACACGTACAGTGGTACCAGCTTACTTTCTCCCTCCTTACCATGGATGTGAGTGATCAGTAACCCTGAACACCTTTGATATCCCCAACACAAACTCCACATAAAGGCTGAGTAACTGCCAACACAAAATAACACCACAAAGCTTTCCTGACATCTCCAATAAAGCCCAGGTTCCCATTCCTTTTAGTTCAAAAAGAACTCACCCAAGATCAGGAGCACAGTTGCTTTTGCCAGCTGCTTCATATTCTCATTGTAAGCATAGGCTGGATTGCAGTTCCTTTGCTGAGTCTGAGCTTAGACTAGGGAAGGAAACAAGGAAGACACACAAAAGACACTGCCAGACACCACTTTTGCTACTCTCACCTGGGTGTGATTCCCCAGAGAACAGCCAATAGTGGGGCAGCAACTGCTAGGAGTGAGACTTCAAAGTTCAAAGCCTCACAGCAAAAGGAAGTTAAGGGAGAGGCAGCCTCAGAGGGTGGCAGTGTGGGTTTCATATTAAATGTTTGGTGAGGTCTAATCCATTCGAGGATCATGAAGCAAGTACATAGCAGGTGGGTGACTCATGTTCTTCTTTCCCTGTCCCTCCTGGACAGCCCCAGAGGGAGGTCAGCTACTGTATATCCAGCACTCACAGACTTGGGGACAGTCATATCACTCAGCAAAGTCGTCGTGGCGTAGCATGCTATGCCCTGAAATACACTCCATTGGCCCCTTTACAAGCAAGATAGACCAGGAACCCCTAATGTCTTCCCCAAAACAGATCAGATGAAAACTCTGAACTGATCCTTTCATATCTTCATACGTGGGTGTCTTTTAAGGACCCCTAAGACTACATTCCACCTGCTATTCAGGTGCTGTTTAATGGGTATCAAATACAAAGTAGATCCCCTCCCTGAGATCAGAGATCACTTTACTACGTAGCTGGGACATTTTGTGAGGAGCCATTCATGGAAACAGAGAGAAAATGAGACAAAAACTTATGTTATTAATAATGAGACTAAGACCCCCAATAGAGGACCCGTCTTGTAAAAAAAAATAATTAGAGAGGGGGGAATGGAATCACAGTTTTAAATCTATGAAGTAGGCACCACAGTCTATTGCAATACCAAGTTTTCCAAAAGACAAGTTTCAGAACACCAAGGAAATACAACTTTGTACAAATGGAAAAATGGAGAAATAGGCAAATTTGGTGAAGGCAATGCTAATGCCTTGTATTACATGGAAGGAATGGGGTTTCTTCAATGAAGACTCGGCAAAGAAAAAGCAAACTCCCAAATAGATGGTTGGGGTTGAAACTTTGTCTTATGCTGTGTAGTAAACATATAAACAAAAATAAAAATAAGGCCCCAATTAAATCCTTTCTCTTCTTTTTTTAAATTTAGAAACAATCTTATTTTACATATCAATCCCAGTTCCCCCATCCCACCCCTCATCTATTCCTCAGAGGGGGTGAGGCCTTCGATGGGGGAATCATCAAAGTCTATCACATCATTTGGGAGAGGGCCTAGGCCCTCCCCTCCACCCACCCACCCCCCACACACACACCTCATGGCTGAGAAAGTAGACCTCCATGGGGAGTGGGATCCCAAAGTCCATTTCTGCACTAGGGATAAATACTCATGAGACCTCTGACAGTGAAATCCTTTCTGTTCTAAGAGTTGCTGTGGCCAGTGTCTCTTCACAGCAATATAATTGTGACAGGGCACTTCCCAAATGACTCTATGTTGTTTGTATAAAGTTGACATAAAACTGTGCCTCACAATTGGCCCCTTGTCAAATTGACACACAAGTACATTACTATTTAATGAGGACCTTTCCTTTCTACTCACCTCCAAGATGTCATGTTAGTATTAACATCACAATATCACAATTGCAACTTTTAAAATTCCCCAGGTCTTTAAAAACTCAAACACTTTAAAGTTCTGTCTCTTTAAAACATCCAAAGTCCCTTTCAACATCCAAAGACTCTCTAAAATACCCAAAAATCTCTATTTCAAGTCTTTAAAATTCCAATGTCTCTCTAAAAATCTTAAGTCTTTCAACTGTGGGCTCCTATAATATCAAAAATAAGCTAAATACTTTCTTACTCAGAGAGCAAAGAATCAAGACACAGTCACACCTGAGCCAAAATGAAACCCAAGTCCAACAGGGTAGAGAGTTCAAAAGTCACTCAGTCTTCAGGGTCCAAAAGGGCTCGTTTCTCCAGCTCTGCTTTACGCAGCACACACAGCTTGTCTCTTAAGCTCAAGCCAGCTCTGCTCTACAGTTGCTGCCATTCTTGGTGGTCATCCCTTGGGTGTGGCATCTCCAAAATGCTGGGGTCCCTGCTACAACTGGGCTGCACCTTCACCAATAGCCTCTCCTGAGCTCTCTTCAGTAACTCTAACCTTGTCACATGGTACAATGCCTCAACTGTTCTCCATAACCCCTTCATACCTTTAAAAACAATACCACCTAGGAATCTCTTACCCATTACCAAGTTCAATGGTCAGCACAAGGTACATCCTGGCTCCCTCTGAACCACAGCTCTTGTGTGATGACCTTAACACTCCCCAGATGATTTTGCCTCAATGATGTTGGCCTGTTCTTAGTCACAGCTGGTGCTTCAGCCCCAGTTGGCTAGTATTGATTGTCCCTGCAAAGCAAAAGTTCAATTTAGTGGTTCTTGTCTCTTGTTAATCACAGCCAATTTATTCTTCAGCTTCAGTTGATGAAAAGCACAGATTCTTAATTCAAAGTATTGAATAGTCCCAGGTATCCTTTTGTTGTTGCTGTTAATTAGGCTAAAGGCTTCTCAGTCTTGCTAAACTTTTTATTTTTCTTCCGTAGGTTTCTCAAAACAGGGTTTCTCTGTGTAGCCCTGGGTGTCCTAGAACTTGCTCTGCAGACCAGGCTGGACTGGAACTCATACAGATCCACCTACCTCTGCCGCCTGAGTGCTGGGATTAAAGATGTACACTATCATCTCGCAGCTTAGCTTAAACTTTTTAAAGAACCAATTTTTTTTTTTTTTGGTTTTTTGAGACAGAGTTTCTCTGTGTAGCTTTGGAGCCTATCCTGGCACTCGATCTGGAGACCAGGCTGGCCTCGAACTCACAGAGATCCCCCTGCCTCTGCCTCCCGAGTGCTGGGATTAAAGGCGTGCACCACCAACGCCCGGCAAAAACCAATTTTTTGTTTCATTGATTCTTTGACATTTTTTCCATTTCTATTTCATTAATTTTATCCCTGTTTTTTATTGTCTTCTCCCATCCACTTTTTACTTTTTATTATTTCTTTTCGGAGAGGTGTTGTTTGTTCTTGTTTTTTCTAAATCTTTCAGGTGCATCTTTAAGTTACTAATTTGAGATCTCAACAGCTTTTATGTAGGCATATAGTGCTGTAAACTTTCTTCTTAGGACTGCCTTCATTTTTTCCCCACAGATTTTGATATGTTGTGTTTTCATTTTCAGTCAGTTGCAGGAATTTTTAATTTTTTCCTTCTTGATTTCTTCCTTGACCTGTCAGTTCTGTGGTAGTTTCCAGGAGTGTTCTTCTTGTAGTTTCAGTTGCTGTTGATATCTAGCTACATTCCATTGTATTCAGACAGAATGTGGGATATACTTTCAATTTTCCTGTATTTGTTGAGACTTTCTTTGTGTCCTAACATGTAGTCTAACTTGGAGAATGTTCCGTGGAAAAGAACGTGTATTCCTTACTCTTTGGATGTAACGTTCTGAAGACATCTCTTAAGTCTGTTTGATTTATGATGTCGTTTAACCCCAGAGTTTCTCTGTTTACTTTTTCAGATGACCTGTCTATTAGTGAGAGTAGAGTATTGAAATCACACACTGTTGCCCTTTCTGAATGGAGGAGGAATAGATAAGGTGGGTACACAGGAGGTGGGGGGAGGGAATGAAAACGAGGAGGAGAGGAGGGAGGGAAAACTGGTTGGTATGCAAAATAAATGAAAAAAGAAATCACCTACTATCAACGTGTAAGGATCATTCTGCTGTTTTATACCTAATAACACTTCTATAGAAATTGGGTGTTCCTGTCACAGGTGCACATGTGTTTAAGATTGTAACACACTGGATTTTTCCTTTATTAAGTATGAAGTGTCCCTCATTTTCTCTTTTAACTAGTTTTGTCTTGAAGTCTATTTTGTCAGATATTAGAATAGCTATCCCTGCTGTTTTTCTTAGTTTAACTTTCTTTAAATAACCTTTTTCATCCTTTTACCCTGAGGTACTAGTTATTATTTTTTATGAGGTATGTTTCTTAGATAAAAAAATCTGATCTACCAACCTATTTTCTAATACAATCTATTAGCCTGTATTTCTATTGGAAAATTGATACCATTAATATTAAGAATTATGAATGGTGTGTGTTGTTAATCCCTATCGTATAGTTGCTTTGTATTTTATTGAACCACTTTTATCTTAATGTTCTGGAATTATTTATTCCTTTTGCCTTCTTGGGTATGCTTAACCTTGTCTCCAAATCTCCTTTCAGTATCCTCTATAGTGGCCATAAATTTTTAAATCTATTTTTAATGTTTGGCTTTTATTTTATTTTATGTGCATTGGTGTTTTGCCTACATTCATGTCTATGTGAGGGTGTTAGATCTCCTGGAACTGTATTTATTGAGAGGTGTGAGCTTCCATGTGGATGCTGGGAATTGAACTTGAGTCCTCTGGAAGAGCAGCTGGTGCTCTTAACTGCTGAGCCATCTCTGCAGCCTCTTAAATCTGTTTTTTATCATGGAAAGTTTTCCTTTATCCCTGGCTTACTATTGATAATTTTCCAGGTATAATATTCTGAGACAGCATCTGTGGTCTTTAATAACTGTAGAGCATTAGTCTAAGTTGTTACAGTTTACAATGATCTCCACTTTTTATGTAATTCTGTTTTTCTTCCTTGCAGCCTTCAATAGCTTTATTTATTCTGTACATTTATTGTTTTGACTATAATATGGAGAGTTTCTTTTCTGATCCTGTCTATTTGGCTTTCTGAAATGCCTCTTAGACCATGATAGCCATCTCTTTCCATACATTAAAAGTTTTCTTCTATGATATTGTTGAAAATATTTTTTGGTCCATTGAGTGACCTGGATCTCTTCTTGTTCCTCTATACCTGTAACTCACAGGATTGGTATTTTATACTCTTTCAAAGTTGTTATATGCTTTAGTTATGAGAAGGGTGGGATCTTATATTTCCTTTTACTGAGTAATCCAGTTCTTCTACCTTGCTTTCTTTTT